AATGGAATATATACAAGAGTAAGTCAAAATGTTCCAATTCATACATGTACTGGTTTATTCCAAACAAAATGTGTCTAGACATGTTTCTGTTATACAGACACATTCCTTCAGTAATACACCAGTCTTTGTCTCATTAGGGTACCTCCAAAAACAAAAGGTCCAATTAAAACAGCGATTGCAGGGTCAGGTAAATTCTAGGCAGAGAGCTCCGCTCAACAGGTCAATGAAATTATGTATATTTTTTTGTGGTTTGAAAGTAATAAGCTTGATAGATTTTCTCAAAGGACACGAGAGGATCATGGGGGTTTCTGAGGAAGCAGTTTTAAGAAAATGGAAAAGTACATTGTTCATATAAAAAAATAAAAATACCGAAAAATTGCACTGAGGAATTTTTTCTCTCTCACCAGGGTGCACCTGCTCATTCTTGAGGAGTAGCAAGGGTTGCCTTCGGATAATTTTATTGCGAAACTTTATCTCTTCCACTCGATAGCTCTGCTCTTTCCCCTTTAGATATCTTTTAATTTCTAATACTCAAAGAATGTCTCAAAAGAACACAATTTGGATCACTTGAAGATGCCACAAAACTGTCATTTTGATATGCTTTTAATGGAAAAATGTCTAGTATTTCAGGGCAGGATTAGGCAGATGTAACCTTCACTTTCAGGAGTGTAGAGACCTAGATGGAGGTAATCTTAAGAAACAATGCCTTGAAGTATTGATAATTTTGTTTAATAAAGTGTTCTATGATTGTAGTAATATATTTTTACTTACCCTTGTATTTTTGAAGGTTGAGACAATAAGGCTTAAAAAACTTAGACTATATCAGATCATATCCTTCAATGTTTAATATTGAAAATTATGTTTCCTCAATTATTAAACTATTCAATGTACCTTCAAAATTGTGTGCATCATATTTTTTCTGTTTAAGTTGTACACAATATATTTTACCATAATTTTTTGAAATTATTATTTTATGTAATGTTTTATTAGGTCTAATGAAATAACAAGATAGCATAGCTATTTTTGTTTCTGGTCTTATGTTTTCAACTCTTTTTTTATTAATTTGTATTTATAATTCATGGTTGTTGTTGTTAAGTGCATCTGAGTCAGTTCCAACCCATAAACAACCCTGTGTAGGGTTTCTGAGGAGCATCTGCTGAGCTTGAACCGCCGACCTTGCAGTTCAAATGGCTTTGCAGTCTGGCACATTAACCCACAGCACCACACAAGGACTCGAATAGTATCATGATTAATGTTTGCTGAAATACGTTGGGTAGTAGCTTCATTCTTTGGATTATGAAGTATTTTTGTTATCTTCAATTCTTATTCTTACACATGGATTTTTTTAACCTTTCATCCATTCTAAAAAACACTGTTTGTTATTGAAATGATTCAGTCATTCAATATGTATAAATTAATTTGAAAATGTTAACTGATTAATATTACAATGTTTGCTTTCAGCAATAAATACTAAATTTGAGTTTTTTTGCATCAAGTCAAATGTTTTAATTATCTTTATTAAAGAAATCCACATTCTCAATAAGTTTA